GACAGAACATAAAGTGACCAAAAGTAGGAGACCTTTAAGAGATATTTTGTGGATTGAAATGTTTGAGGACATAAATCATTTTAATGGTAAAATTTAAGGACATAAACTATAATTTTCCATATATATATATATATATATGTATATATATATATATATATATATATATATATATATATATATATATATATATATATATATATATATATATATATATATATATATATATATATATATATATATATATATATATATATATATATATATATATATATATATATATATATAAATTTTTGGGCCGACCGGGAACCGGCGGGCTGAACCGGCCCGCCGAACGGTGTGTAGTACGGGCCGGTTTCGGTTCCGGAAAAAGTGAACCAGGAACCGGAGTGAACCGGTCCGAACCGGCCAATGGCTTTATATAGTTAAGAAGAATATGAAGTCCAAATTTTCGACGACTTCTACGTTACGAACACTGTGTGATGTCGATCATATTCGCACGGGCGATGTCAGAGTATCAAAAGGAGAAAAAGAAGAAGATCCGGTAATGATTATCCCAGCTACGCATACGAGGGCGCCGGAAAAAATATCGACCGCGGCGGAAGATGACGTGGAAGTTTCGGCTTCTTCGAGGGCTTTGATGCTGAAAAGTCAATTTGTGGATACGATATTCAAAGCTACGCATTACTTGGTGGGGAAGTCCGACGACGTAATGCGACAAAAGCAGATGAAAGAGGAGAAACCGAGATGTCATGAACGAGCTGGCCATGTGGGGTTGTGAGCGGCGTTAGCCCTTTGAAGAAGCTTGGATTGTTTATCAAGCCCGGTGATTTTGATTACATCGAACGTGATCCAGATCGAGTCTATGCACTGCTACCTATGGATGATATTGATATCGAAGAATGAGAGATTACGAGGGCTTTGATGCTGAAAAGTCAATTTGCGGATACGATATTCAAAGCTACGCATTACTTGGTGGGGAAGTCCGACGGCGTAATGCGACAAAAGCAGATGGAAGAGGAGAAACCGAGATGTCATGGACGAGTGGGGTTGTGAGCGGCGTTAGCCCTTTGAAGAAGCTTGGATTGTTTATCAAGCCCGATGATTTTGATTACATCGAACGTGGTCCAGATCGAGTCGATGCAGTACTACCTATGAATGATATTGAAATTGATATCGAAGAAGGAGAGATTATATATATATATATATATATATATATATATATATATATATATATATATATATATATATATATATATATTGGGTAAATCACAAAAAGGCCCATGATAAGGGTACTTAATTAAAAGAGGGACATCCCACTTTTTTGTCTTTCAAATAAATTCAGCTTATTCACACTTATTTGCAAATAAGGAAAATCCTTTTATATATACCAAAATTACTCCCAATTCATTAAAACCCAATTCAACTTCAATTTCATGATTTTCACCCAAATTTAGCCCAATTTCATCAATTAACCAATTTTAACTCTAATTTCAATTTTGATCCGCCCCCACCGGAGACCGCCGGTCGCCGCTGTTGACCACCGCTAACCGCCGGTCTCTAGAGTTGACTTTTTTTTTCTTTTTTTTTTTTTTAAAAAATATTACTGTCTTGGCTGCTAAATTACTGTCTCCGACAGTTATTTAACTGTTAATTGACTTTTTTATTCTTAAAAAATATTTTTAATTAATATTAATGTATTCGTTGTTAAATTGCTGTCTCTAGTAGTTATTTAACTACCGGAAACAGTACTTTAACTGTTAATTGACTTTTTTATTCTTAATAAAAATATTGTTAATTAATATTATTGTATTCGTTACTAAATTACTGTCTCCCGCAGTTATTTAACTGTCGGAGACAGTAATTTAACTGTTAATTGACTTTTTTTTTTGTTTTTCCTTAAAAAAATTATTTTAATTAA